TGGGTTAATTTTGAATAACATCCTTGTTATATCCTCTACAGAGAGCATGGCAGAGAGGGATGCACATTCCACAGCCGAGCATGAAAATGTTGTCAGTTGGAGAACTTCTGGGAGGATATGATGTGAGGGAGGAGGGACAACATGAGCAAGAATGCTTAGGAAGTGTTCAAGAGCAATTGTTCCCATTTCAAGATGGTCAACTGCGACTCTCCCATCCAAGGTGGTTAAGGTATGTATCAAGTTGTATGATGTTCTTGCAATTACCACTTTGTAGAAGTAGCTGGTATTCTGATCTCCTAGTTTGAGCCAACAAATTCTTGATTTTTGCTTAAAATAGGCTTCCTCTACATCTTATAACTTTGACAGAATCAACTGACAGTTCCTCTCTTCTTGGAAGTGTGATTCATCAGGTTGTTGCAAGGAGTGTACCTGCGCAATTTTTAACAAACGGTTAGCCTCACTCACTCTCTTTTGTATCTCTGAGAAATTGTTTTTGTTTAGTGTTTTCAAAGCTCTCTTCAACTCTTTCTGCTTTTTACTCAACAAGAGGAGAGTATGACCCTCAATTCCAGAGTTTAACCAGGCTGCGGTTACAGTGGATAGGAAGTCGGGATGGGTAGTAAGGTAGTTAAAGAATTTAAAGGGCTTTGTTCCGGAGGCAGGTTTTGTAATGGCTAGATCTATGAGGCAGGGACAGTGATCTGAGATCTCAGGGGCTAAGAAGGAGGCAAGGCCTTGAGGGTAAGCTGTAAACCAACCTTCATTGTTCAATGATCGGTCTAGCTTTCTAGCAATGGGGCCCGAAGGTCTTTTGTTCGTCCAGGTAAACAGAGGACCATGGAACCTCATGTCTTTCACCTCCAAGCAATCAAGGCATTTCTTGAAGTCCATCATCTGAGGAAAAAGGTAGTTTGGAGTAGGTATGGAGCTCTCAGAAGTGTGGATGATCTCATTGAAGTCACCAGCAATAAGCCAAGGGTTGGAATCAAGCTGATGGGTACTGTGTAAGAGCTCAAGATCTTTCCAAAGTAATTCTCTCTCTTCTTTTCTGTTTGCTGCATATACAGCGGTTGAGAGAAAAGGCGTAGTGTTTAAGCCACCAATAGAAACTGACACCATTTGTATTGACTTGTGGACAAGGTTGACAACAGTAGGGGTCTTCCAGATAAATATTACTCTTCCATCATCATCCTCAGAGTGGTTAGAGATGAAGGAATATTGAGGCCAAAGAGAATGCATCACATGGTTCAGGTTAGACTCTTTCACATGGGTTTCCAAAATAGCACCAAAATAAATATTATTACTACTAAGCCAGTTCCTAAAAGCCTGATGCTTTTCAATATCATTAATGCCCCTGACATTCCAAAAAAGGTTCGTATCGACATAAAAAGGTTAGGGTTGAGTCTCCCCTGGAGGCAGGGAAGGACCCGTTAAAAGGGTAGTATCTATTTGTGGGGTAATAGGGACAAAAGAGGTTTTGGGTTGAGGATCAGGGGCTGCCGAGGGGGGACAAGTTTGTGGGTGAATGTGGCCAAGAGGAGTAGTAAAAATGGTGAGACTAGCAGGGAGAGATTGGTTGGATAAAATTTTGGCAGTGGGATTTGATGAAAGATCAATCTGATGAATGAGATTGGGTAAAAGATGAGTAGGTAGTTCTGGTGGTTGGGAGGCAAGACAAGAGAAATAACTAGGTTGGCCAGTAGTTTGAGAGGTGGTGGAGAGGTTGTTGACGGAAAAAATGGAAGGTTTATGTTTGGAAATCTTTGTAGGTGACTGGAATTCTAGGATAGAGGGACTAACAGGTGGTGGATCCGAAATAGTAGGGCACTGAGCAGGGAGGGCAAGAACATGGGTAATACTAGCAACTGAGGCTTGGGTGAGGTTAGAAGAAGAGGCAAAAACCACAGTATTAGGGATAGAATGGTATAAGGTAGATGTAGGGGTGGAGAGGTTAGCAATGGTAACTTCAGAATTGACTGGCAAGGATGGGATATGATTCACTTGATAAGTAGCATCACTAGTAACATCAGAACTGACGGCCAAGGACGGGCGACTCACTTGAGAAGTAACAGCTGTTTCTTGTGAGTCACCATTGTGATGTGAGGAACCTTTATGAGCAGGAACCGATTGAGTAGTGGGTTTTGGCACAACTTGCTCGACATGTGGCTCTTTTTGAACAGGTTTCCATTCGGCACTAGAGCAGTGAGATTGAAGGTGGCCAAGAAAGTGGCAGCACGGACAAGTTGGAGGTCTCCAAGGATATTCAACAGAGACAGGAACAACAAAGCCATCATCTCTTTCAATTTCAACAGTGGAAGGGAGGGCCTTAGTGCAGTTAGCTCTAACTTTGAGATGAGCGACACTGATGTTAACCATTCTGATAGTGTATTCATCTGCTTCCACCGGATCGCCAATCAAACCTGCAACAAGACTGAGGCCCTGTTGGTGATACAAATCAAAAGGAACATCTCGCACATGAGCCCATAAGGGGATGGATTTCATGGTTGGAGTTTTGAGAGCCACTTTTGCTGACCATTGAGCCACATAGAATAGGGAGTTCCCAATGTGCCATATTTCTTGTTCCACTATTTTTTCCCTTATGTGGTCATTTGGTATCCTGACCATCATAGATCTGTCTGCATGTCTTAGATGGATCTCTAACTTTCTGCCTCGACCCCAAATATGGGTAAGAACACTTTGTATATGACTGTATGAGGGAGTTTTGCCCATGAAGATTCCAATGATAAAGTCTTTATGAAGTTCAGCACCTTTATTAAATACAGCATCTGGAATTCTAACTCGAGGAACTCCATTAGATGAGATGGTCGGAGTAGCAAGACTTTTTAGCGATCTATCAGCTGTGACTTTGATTCTAGCAGCCCAAGTGTTGTTGTTTGGTTGAGAGGTTGTAGTGGTTTCTGGTTAGGGAGGCACAGATTCAACATGGGAATCAGGGCAAGGAGAGGATGAGGGATGCAGATTGGCAATTAGGCCAGCAATGACCGCATTACTGGTTATGCTAGAAGACTCCAAGCAAGGTTTAAGACTAGTAGGTGGGCTAAGAGGGTTTTGACTAACCTGAGGCTGATGGTGGGGGAGAAACATCTGCTTGGGGAACTAACTGGATAGGGAAAGAAGCAGGTGGGACTACATCAACGGAAAAACCAATCTCCATTGGGGAAGGATGAGGCGCGAGAATAGTAGATCCAGCAACTTCCATTGTTGACTGGTTAGTATCAGTTACAGTTTGGGTAGCAGGCTGCATAGTACTCAAGGAGCTTGAACTCGAGGGAGTCAGAGCAACCATTGAGGGAGGTGGGGAGCCAAGCTCCATAGGAGTAGCATTAACAGTTGGGATCTCAGCCCACACTGTAGTGATAGAAGCCTTAGGTTTACAAAGGGATTGTGGTGGAGTTGAAGATGAAGTCAATGGAAGGGGAGGGTATTGGTTAAGGTTCATGGGAGGGTTGTGGTTTGGTGGTTGTGGAGGAGGCCGGAGCGAGATGCCGCCGACCATGGTTGTAACACGGCGAAACTAGGTTAAGCGCGGGAATCGAGGGAAAACAGGAGAGAGAAGAGAGAAAAAAAATTTTCTCAAAAAAAAACTAAAAAGAGATTTCGTCTTTGATG